TCATGTCACCAGGGCAGGCCGGGAAGTGAGTAACACTGCCGGAACATGACCTGCGTGGGGCAGTCATGACAGCAATGAGCAATGTGCTGGGGAGAGCTTCTTAACACTGCCCTTTGCCTTGCTGCTGTTGCCATCTCCTCTAGCCCTGCTGATAGTCTTCCCCATCAGCAACGTGCTATGACTGCAGCTGCCTCTGGAAAACGTCTTCTAGTGCTGGCAGCAAGCTACCTGTGATCCATGGGGAGAGCATCCCGTTTGTGTTTCAGGAGAGCAATTACTTTGGTTCCCATGCACTTTGCATGGAACTACATCTCAATTCCGGCTGCACTTGAGCCACCCACAGCATCAAAAGGAGCTGGTGTTGCAGCTCTAATGCCCCTTCGACCAAGCCCATCCCTTTTACAGGCCCCATTGTGGGCATCATCTTGAAGAACTGCCACACTCACAGAATGCTTCCAATGACTTTATTTCTGGTGGGATTTACTCTTCCTTTGAACTGCTGTTTATGAGTGTTGGTCTCAAACTTTCCTTGCAAGCCACTATAGAAGCACCATAAACATCTGGAAAGGCAACAGATGGTTTCATGGATCACCAGCGATTTCTAGACCACAGCTCAGCCATTGGTATGAGTCATTCCATCAGAAATAAAGGGCTAGAAAAAGAAACCTGACCTTATGTTGAGGGAATGGATGCTATTCCTGCTATTTGAGAAGCTAGCCGCGAGTGCCTGAATCACACAGCCTCAAGCCACTGAAGAGTAATAGTCACATGAGTGATGGAGTATCAGGAAAATTGCTATGTTGCTGCTGTACTTTGTAATGATTATCTAATCATGGTGCTTTCCTGGTGACTACAGGAAACAAAGAACAGTGCAAAGTTAGGTGCCAGGTGGATCTAGTGTTTGAATAAGATTAAACTACAGAGGCAGATGGTTCCAGAAGTTGGGTTTGGCCTGGTTGGTAAAGATGGGCATCCCTTAGAGGATGGGAGATACCTGAGGGCCACAATCTGTGGCTCTATTTAACAGGAATAGTTTTATCTGTACCTATATCAAGCTACCTTAGTAGACATTTATGAGCAGTGCACAACCCTGATGGTGTTTCCCACTCCACCTCCTATTTAAAGACTTACTCCACTGCTACAGCAAGGCACTCTGCTGTGCGAAGGGGCACAACTTGTCCCATCACTGCTGCTTGCACAGAGGTCACAGCAGCATTTCTCAATGCTATCTGGCCTTCCCATGCCCCACACAACTTCCCTGGCTGTAAAATGAGATAACATCCTCAATCAACATAGTTACTGGAAGGCGCAGCTCTCTGTGTCTGGGAAGTGTCTCGAGCTTGTCTGCTAGAAACAGTTAGAGAAGGATAAAACATAATTATACCAAAATTACGCCACGGTGAGCTCCCATCTGCCTTATCTGGTGACTCACCAGGCTCTTTCCTGACAGAGCAGAATACATGCATTGGAATTTCAATAGCCAGCTCTAGCCGTAGGTGCAAACTACTGCAAGGCTAATAAGGCTTCACATCCAGCACCCGGTTAGGCAGCTAGCTGCACGTGAAGCCCAGCCAAACAAAAGAGCTCCATGAGTTAGCATGGGAAACATCACTTAATGGCCCTGTTTATCACCCCAGAGCATTAATCGTGTAGAGCATCAGGCCTTCTGACTCTCAGGAGCACTGTGGGATCCCAAAGCGATGCTAAGGTTGAGGCCAGAGGACTTTTTGGCAGGAAAACTCAGGCAGTGCTTGGATCTCACCACTAATCCCGCATCTGATTAACAGATGATAACAGTGGAAGGTGGCAAGCTCAGCTACTGAGCTGCATCCATGTCAGAAGTCACAGGAGCTGGGGATTTCTTGGTGCGTGTGTATTTCAGCTGGGAGCGTGGATGTGAGGGCTAACAGACAACGTAGTCTGAGCAGTATCCTCCTGCTGTAAGCATTTAACCCTACAGACACTTCTGTTCCGTGTTGCACAAGGGTGTTTGCTTTAGACAGGCTTGTTCTCACCCAGTCAAAACCAGCACATCAGTCCTAAGCAATACCCTTATCTTTTTCTTTTGAAAATGCAGCTCCAAGGACCAAGTAGATGTGTCTTTTATAGGCAGGAATAACACTAAAATAGGTTGGAGCTTTGTCCTACAAAGGCTGAGTCCAAAGCAGTGTGACCCTTGACACTTTCATGCTTCTATAGCAACTGCTCCCTTGGGTTTCTCCCAGCACAAAAGCCCTTCCAAGCTTTATACATGGCCTCAGGATGTGTCCCAACAAATCAGAGCTGCAAACAACACCCAAAACATGGTCAAAAAGGTAAGCACTCCCAGATGTGCTAAACAGTACATAGGAATGAGAAACTAGCTAGCCTTGGATGGAGAAAGCATCAGGGGAAGCTTGATGCTCATTGCTTGGTGTTCTTTCTTTCCACCCACCTTTATTTGGTGACTTTATCTACTGAGATGAAGTACACAGAGAGTGAAAAGGGTTATGCACTTGGGCAGTGGTGGAGGTAAACACAAGCAAAGGAACAGCCTGAAGCTTTAATCAGCAGTCTGTTTGTATTACCCTGCAATATACGTTGCTTCTTGTTACACTTGAAGTTGGTAGTTGCTGTTAGGAAATGATCTTGTTCACTATAAACCTTCCTAAATGCCCCCTGAAAAGAATACATACCCTTGAGGAGACCACATCACTTCTGCAGCAGTCCTGGATGAGATGGCAGTGGTTGCTGAGGGTGGTGAAACAAGGAGAGAGGATGATGGGAAGGGTTTGACAGTTAAAAGTCAAGGTTTCAATCACAGTTATTCACTGCAGGTGGGATCCTCCATTGGATCTCTGGCTGGAGCCACTGTAACCAGCCCTAAATATTCCAGTTTCCCATTTAAATACACCATCCAGACAAAGACTATGTCCAAAAAGGAAGGTTTATGATTATTTTTTTTTAATTTTCTTTATCAAATTCTTTTTTCTATTTGGGAAATAAGCCACAAAACCCCAGGGAAATGGTTTTGCTCCAGGTCACGGTGCTTATACCAGAGATCTGCATCTCCTACATCTCATCCCAGTGTTCCAGTCACATCCTCTTGGCTCCTGCATAGCTTAGCAAGAATGAATTTAAACAAGCGTTTTCAGCCTGCTGTTTGCATACCCCTGTGCCTGTACCCAGAGAATACCTTTGAGAAGCACCTGAGATGTGTAATGCAAGGAAATTAATGAACTGTTTCTACTTAGTACCACTGTCCCTTTAAGTACAAACAGGAAGGTATGTGCTCCCACAACTGATGGCTCCCAATCCTCTGGATCCACCCAGGACCAGCTGCAGCTCCGGCCATGCTCAGTCTATTCTTCCAAGCAGAAGATAAAAATAACAGCAAGCCTCCCACTCACTTTTGGAAGCCAAACCCTCCTCGTCATCCCAGTAAGGAGCTGGTCTCGGCACGCTCGGTGCCTTGCACACCCACTGTGTCCTTGCAAAGGGAGGAATGTGCGGGTATGTATGGGGCGGCCCGGTTTGCCCCAGGCTCTCACCTTCGGGGTTGGACTCAACCCATTCCATGGTGAAGCTGATGGGAACCCCCCTCTGAAATGCTGAAATAGCAGTGGTCTGCTGATAGCCCCGGTCTTGTCAGTGGGTAAAGGGCTTAAAATGTGCCTATGTCTGTCTTTAGAGCATGACCATAAAGTGAATCACTGTTCTTCACTACCAGGGCAGAGGGTCTCAGCTAGACCCAAAACAAGGGCTTTTGTTCCTCACTGTGTTACCCAATGTAACATAGAATCATAGGATAGTCAGGGTTGGAAAAGACCTTAAGATCATCCAGTTCCAACCTCCCCTTGCCATGGATCATAGATTAGCTTGGGCTGGAAAGGACCTTCAAAGGTCATTTAGTCCAACCCCCTGATATGTTACTGAAATGCTGCTAATTTTGAGCTCAGTTTACCCAAGTGCTTATGCAGGTGACTAAGTGAGCAAGCCTTCTAAAACCGATTTACATCCATTCATCAGACATCCTGCTCTGTCAGCTCTAGGCAGTGTTTGCTTCCCAGCCTCACTCATCCTTCAACAGCAACATAAATAGATTGGGAGTACACCGTGCTGGCACTGGGTGCTCCGTCTGGTGTGTGGGTTGTTATTCCTATGCTGTATGTGCACTCTGATGAGGGAACTGTACCGTTGGGATGCAGATCTGGGAAAGTTTGGATTTAACTGGAATTATCCATTGAGGTGTTTGTCTTCTAGAGTCACCCACGGAGCTGAGTGTGGAGCAGCAATGCTTTAGATCGGGTCCTTCTAGCTGTGGATGGGTCATGGAACTTCACTTTTAACCTTAAAAGTGATTTAAAACTCTGGTGATTTCAACGCCCTTAAAAACCTCCTTCTGGCTTTCAGCTCACTAGAACTGAACAGTGGCACCTGAAGCAGAGGAATGGGGGAGCCAAAGTGAGTTGTATCCAACTGCCACTAAAGTCCATGGGATTTAGACACTTCTTTGTCCAAAGTCATATTTGCAAATATATGAACTAGGCTAAATTCTGATTGTTCATTATTTCCCCCTCAAAACACACACTCTTGTTTCCTTATCTGCACTTGAGTGTGAATCTGTTGGTTCTTTTTCCTGGCTCATGGACTGATGTCCTTTGAACCGCAAAAGATTTGCAGCTCAAATAATATTTCTCTATGTCAGTTACTACCAAAAGCTGGAAAGAATGACATTCCTTCCCCTCCATATACCCTATAGGAGCTTGAAGCAGTGTAGACTGTTTCAGCCTCCTGGCTTTCAGATTTATACTGGATTTTATACTGCTCTAGTGGAAGGTGTCCCTGCCTGTGGCAGGGGGTTGGAACTGGATGAGCCTTAAGGTCCCTTCTAACACAAACCATTCTGATCCTATGATTCTACTGCAACAATATCGTCCTCCTCAACCAAGGACAAGGAATTTGAGTGTCAGAGTCCTGTTAATCTAAGGCACTGTCAGACAGTTTGTCCCTAATGAAGAAACAAGAGAACAGCCATCGCTGCTTTTAGGTGGTCCTGAAACTTGCAGCCCTGTGAAAACGCCTGCCCAAACCAGACCAGATTACAAAGAGCGATTAAGCAACCTCAAAGCTGGTTGAGGAATTGCAAGGATTTGAAAGCAAAAGGCCTTCCCCAACCGGAGAAGATGAAGAAGTAAACATTTCCCACATCTCTTCCTCGCAAGCACTGCCCCTTATCAGGAGCATTCCAGCCTGCCCTGTTTGTCACAGGAACCGGCCGGAGCGGGAGCACGCTCGCAGCTGGTGGAGTGATTCAGTGGTGATGGGGAAAGGCAGGTGGAGCAGGTAAGTCACCTCTGGACAGGAAGGTATAAAAGATACCTGAATTACAGCGGCAGGGCCACTTGTACACAGACCTACCGTGCTGGAAACAAGTCAGGAAGCAACCAGGGAGCTGGGAAACCGGAAAGCAACTTATAACACAAGACACTAAGCCTATCCTCTGGAGAGAAGACTCTTCAGGGGTAGAAATCAAGAGCCTGGAACATGCTTTTCTCCTCCTAAGCAGCACTTTGAACAGGTATTTATAGACTTTAATCTATACACCTCTTAACTCGCTGTGTAGTCGGTGGTTCTGAGTTATAAGATACCATTAGAGAATCATATTACATGGCCACTACCGTAACTGCGTGTTCTCCTCTGTCGGGCTTTATGGGGTGGAAAGAAGTTTCCTAGAAGTTGTGGGGAAGTAAAAAGGAATCGTAGAAGTTCATAGAATCATTTAAGAATCACACTTAGTTTTAAATCTGGGTTTATGGCTCTCACCTGGATGGTTTAGTTATTTACTGATGTTCCCAAGGGTTTTGGAAAGCCCAGGGAAAAGCTGGGAAAGCGAGGGGAATAGGTGCAGTGTGAGCAGGGAGGTCTGAGCAACTGAAGATACTATTCTGTATGTAAAAAATACATAAATAATATGATTTTGTAGTGCAAAAAACCCCAAACCAACAGGAAAACAACCAACCCCCCAAATCCTAACTAATTCCATTGAGATTCCACACTGGATGTCTTCAGTGGTTTATTTCCTAATAATAAACACATAATAATGTGGATTTCCCATCCCTGGCAGTGTTCAAGGCCGGGTTGGATGGGGCTTGGAGCAACCTGCTCTAGTGGAAAGGGGTTGGAAGTAGAGGAGCTTTAAGGTCCTTTTCCTACCCAAACCTGTCTGTGCTTGGGACCCTCCAGTTTTAGCGAGCCTTGGCCCTATACTCTTCATATCTTCCCATTTTAAGTCTCCCTGCATCATCTCTGATCAAAGAGCCCCATAGCACCAAGATAGTGGCAAAATTAAGTCGACTCTAAAATGATTAGACCTAAAAAGCATCTCCAGTGTCACGATCACCTTTAACAGGAGGAAACTGTGAACAAAAGCCGGTATCTTCATTTCAAAGCAAATATTGCGAGTAAACTTCCTCAAGCTTTACTGTCACGATAAGGCTGTTGCTACAGCTGTCAGATTACAAGCCAGTAAACCCCCCAACAGAGCAGCTTTATCAGATAGGCTATGAAATGACAGTTTCATAAGCAAAGGCTCCGTCTGAGGTTACCTTCTGCCACTGGTGGTGCTGCTTATTTTGCACAAGCACTCCAAGCCGAGGCACTGCAAAGGGCTGGGTGTAGGGGATGGAGTTCTGCAAACCGGAAGATTTAGTGGGGGAAAAAAACCACCCACAAAACTCAGGGGTTTCCCTTATTTCTGTGCCAACTGGATTTGGAATTCATCAGCATCTGCCAGATAGTGCTAAAACATGCACAGTGATCTTTAGTCAGAGAGAAACTGCATTAAAGAAACATTACCACAAGCTAAAGGGTGCATCTGTGAGTGGGAATTTAACTGGAGGCTTCCTAAGAATGGCTGCATTTAGAATAAGAGAAGAAGGAAGGTTCTTAGAGGTGGTTTCAGCTCTGGCAGTGCGAGCTGTGATGGGAGAATACTTCATTCCTAAATAATGGAGACTATTTTGGGGCAATATAAGGAATACCCAGTCTTTCTGATACCTTAAATTAGCCTTTAATGCAGGGATGTGGAGTCTCCAGCCCATACTGGTGAGCCACTGCCGGATAATGGAGCCCTATAATTACAGCAGCCATCGGAACCTTCTTGGCTTGTCATGGCTTAAATCTCCCAACAGGAAGAATCAAGCGCAGCCAGTTCAGTGATGCAGCCTACAGGAATGTTCCCCAGGCGCACAGCATCGGGCTGGGAGTTTCCTCCAGCCAAACACTGATCCGACAGCAGTGCTCAATAGCAGAGAAGTGGCGTATGCGAGCCCCAGAATGCCTGCAGAGCTGCATGTCTAGCTTAGGATGACTTGAACTGCTGTTATCAGCTACCCAGGGCCTCCTGCTTGCGTGCCATGACGACGCAGAGTGCACGTGGCAGCTCTCAAGGGCTGTGCTGGCACTGCCCAGGGGCTGAGCGCAGGGGAGAGCTGTGCTTCCTGAGGGAAACCCGAGCAACAAGGAAATAGTGGAGAATTCCCCTTATTCCCGCACCAGGGCCATTGCTTTTCTTGCTGTGTCACGGTGGGAAGTATCGATGCTCTTTGAGCTGCTTGTGGCCGAGGATGCACTAAACTGTGTCCTCCCTTCCCTTGGGTTCTCCTGTGAGATGAGGGAGCTCAATCCCACTCTGGATCCACAAAGCCAAGCAGCATCACAGTGGTGCCTCACCTCCTAGGACCATGCTCCAAGGCACAACCTCTATGAGCACACCAGAGAGAAGAGGTTCGCCCCCCCCGCCTCGCTACCTCCACAACTGAATAGTGTTATCTGTCTCTTAGGCTTTGCCCATGCTGCCACCATAATATCTGAGTGCCTCCCAGCCTAATAGGCTGCCATAACGAGGTCCCTACTTGACCTCATGGAGTCTTCTGCTCTCCTCCCTGCGCAGGTATCGGGGAGCACCAGCCGGGGTAGGTGCTGCTTGTGTTTTTATCTGCCCAGAGGGAGGCATGGATGGGGAAAGACTGCGCCCATCTCTCTTGTGCCATGGTGGTTCTGGTGGAGAGGCTTTGGCTGGATGGTGGAGCTCTGCTGGTTGCTTGCTTCTGTGCAGGATGTGTAACTTCACCTTCGGTATCAGCTTCGACCAGGCTACCTGTGTCGTTCTCACCTCTAGAAGGGATCTATTCCAGGCTCAGGATGCATTGGAAGTCACAAACTTGCTCTTGGTTTCTTTTAAGGGGTTAAACGCAGGTGCGGTGATGGGTGTCTTCACACTGGTTAAAATGGAGGCTGTGGTTTTCTTCTCTCCTAGAGTCTCCCAGGGCTCTCTTTATTTCCCCGGGCACCATCATGTCCTGCTTCACACACCTATGGCATTCCACCACGGCGGAGTCTCCCACCAGCCCGGTCCCTGCCTCTCCAACTGAAATCCCCATCCCCATCAGCCCCATTGTTGTCACCTCCCCAGGAGATGGCAAGAGGAAGGCGAGATCCCCAACTGACAAACCTGGCTCTCCGAACCCAGCCTCTCCAAAGCCAGCCTCTCCTGTCGAGTGTTCCATTTGCTTCAACACCTACGACAACACCTTCAAGACACCCAAACTGCTCCAATGCTCCCATGTTTTCTGCCTGGAATGCGTGGCCCGTCTGAGCACGGGGCTGCCCCCGAACCAACCAGAGGACCAGCTCCCCTGCCCCTTCTGCAGGCAGTTGACCAGCATCCCTCTGGAAGGTGCCCCAGCATTGGAAACCAGTAAGGAGCTCCTTGCCACGCTGCCTCCCGAGCTCCAGCAGGAGAAGGTGCTGTGGATGGAAGGGACCAAGCTGTGCTGCCGTCAGTCATCCGACGACCCCGAGGATCCAGACTCCTGTATCTCCATCGATGTTGCCATGAGCAAGCCAGAAAGCTCAGAGGCCCCCCCGACAGGGCTAGCTGGGAGGCTGTCCCGCTGTGACATGTGTGATGACTGGAAGCGCATAGTCCTCCTCTCTGCCTTGATCATCATCCTCTTCTGCATCATTCTGTGGCCAGTCCAGTGTGCCCTGAAGACAGGGAACCTCCGGTGCTTCACAAGGACTGTTGCCATGAGCAGACCCGAGTATCTTCCCCCTAAACACACCACGGCAGCCACACCAGTGACACAACTCCCTTTCCAGTAGCAGCAAAGCAGCTCCTCGCTCCCATCTAGCAGCACATCGTGGAGGTGGGAACAGGGCCGCTGCTCCAGCAGCATTCCATGGTCCTGGAAGACCTCATGGCCCACTCCCCACGCTCCTACCTTGAACGCATGCATTCACCTTCAGGAGCTCTACTGAAGTACATCCCTGCCAAGCCGTCTCCAGCCCAGGAATGCCCCAAGGAGCTGCTGCAGCATCCTGCTGCCAAAATCCCCACGGAAAACAGAGCTCCGAAGGCTTCTGGAACCGTTTGCCCTGTGTGCCATCCTGACTGGGTACCAGCTGCCAGTGGGTGCAATTCCTCTAACTCCCTCAGGGAATAAAGGGCTATTTCTGCAAACTGAAGGATCTACATGATTATTCCTAAGAGGAGCTGGGATTGGGAGGGTAAAGACATGTCAAAGGCATAGAAACAGATGAAAATCACCTTCATGCCACACGCTTGGAACATTTCCCTCGTGTTATTCCATGTTGGAGGTGTAAATGCTGCCTCCTGCTGACCAAACATGGATGTGCCACCGGTACCCATCACCTCGGTTGTGTTACCACCCCGATGAGCTTGGGAACGGAGCAGAGAGCCCATTCTACTCGCTTTTCCCTTAAGAAGATGCTTAAAAATCCCTCATTCCTACCTGGAAAGCAACTCTGAACATAAGGGGGGAAGTTTTTAGGCACTATACATGGCAGTTAATTCATCAGCAAACTTCATTCACGCTTCTCACAGGCAAACTGCTGCCAAAATGACAGCAGCTTTACCCTCCTAATCATCAAATGTGTCAGTATTAAGACACAGGCCAGTTGCTTACACTCTATTTGTATTTAATGCAGTGATCTGACAGTGATTAAAGTCTTCATGATGAAGGCAACTTCCAATTATGTGTTTTCTATTCCAGCACATGGATGTAAGACAGTATTGTATGCAAGTACCATACATGTATGTATTAAATTATGTTTTATACAATGCAAGGTGTCCATTTGTGGCAATTACTCCACATTTCCCTTCTCACTTGCAGTTGGAGATGGGCACGTAGTAGTCGTGAGTCCAGCAGCATTCCCAGATCATGGAGCTACACAGCATGCCTGTGCCAGTGTTGTACAACCCAGCTTTACCCTATAAATCCACACTTACCATCCCCATGGTGTTATCCCAGGTTCCACATCCCTCTGGGCTTACCTGATGCGACCTGGAAGAGGAGAAGCTCAAAGACTGCTCATGTTCTGCTTCCTCCCAGCTGGGGGAAGGATGCTTCCAGTCTCCCTTCCCTGGAAACCTAATTTGGAGCAGAAAAGGCTGAAGCAGCTCAAGTCTGTTGCTATGCAAACCCTCTGGGATGCTGGATCTGCACCACCTTTCTTGTTCAGCTCCAGGCTGGTTCGATCTGTGTCTGCAGGAACCACTCCAGGCACCGTCACAGCGTCTGCCAAAGGCATTATTAGCCTTGACAGGGATTCTCACTTTGATCCTGCTGTCCATTGCCACTGGAAGGATGCTTCCCAGCACCAATTTATGCATGTTCTTGGCTCAAGGCTTAAGGCAGAGAAGGCACTTCCAGTTTCCCCAGGTGCATTTGATACCAAGCCCAGCCAACAGACACTAAGCTGAAATGCTTTGTCACTGCATCTTTGTACCATTCAACTCCCAGGCAGGGGAGAGGGAAATAACACCTCCAGCCTCCTCAAATCTATTGCTGTGATGGTGAATGGGCCAGAGAGATGTTCTCACAGTACAGTGTTCCTAGTACTTTGTCACGGCATCCTTATGGATGCCCCCTTGCACTTCCCCTTCTCCCCATGTCCTTGGAAACCAAGGTTGAAGGTTTAGCTCACAGGCAGCTGGAATCTGTCACTCGTGCATAGTCCAAAGGAAGAGTCAACAGCTGTGAAGTGAAACCAGGGCCCTCAACAGTAGCAGAATGCCCCGCTGCCCACACCAACCATCAGTCAAATCCCAGAGAGAAAAAAGCCTCGAGAATATTCAACATTTATTCAAAGTGCAATAAGAAGAAACAGTTCTCCTGTCCCTGTGACAAGGGAGCAGAAAGACCAGCCAGGAAACACAGCCAAGGTATGTCATTGTGCTTTGCTTCAACACTTGGAGCCGGCACTCCAGGCACTAAACACCCCAACCATGCAGCAAGTCCACCCAGAACCAGATCAGGAGGACATCAACACCAGCCCCATGCAAGCTCTGGAGGTTCAGGCCCCAGCACTCAGCCCCAAAGCTCCCCACAGGGTCGGACACCGATGAATCCTGCGGGAAGGGGTTCTTTGGCAGGACTATTTGCTGGCCTTTAGGGCTGGAACAGCAGGAAGCACTGGCAGTCGCAAGTCAAGGCTTATCAGCAAGAGCTGGAATACTCCACTCAGTAACACACTCATCTTCATGGCACTGGTCAAGTCACAAACACTCCTACAACACCCCTACTCAGCAGACACAACGCTTGCCTTGTCATATAGCTGAAGGAGGGGGGGGAAGAGGTCATGCAGCAAGGTAATGCAGAGCTGCATCAAGCTTAGAGGGGCCCAGCTCAACAGGTTCAGCTCAGATTAGCACCCTAGGCTGTTACTCCCTAGGGGTGGCTAACAGCACAGCCCGCAGCCAAAGCTGCTTCAGCACCCTTCAGCCAGGTGGGGTTTCACATTCAGACCCCCCTAAGGATGGGGATGCTCACCTCTGCCTCTCAGCTCTGCCATAAAACCCAGGGGCAGAGCAGTTTGTGGGCTCTCAGGCACACACACACGTGCAACTGCTGTGCTAGGACAGCAGCAGGGACTGCCCGGTGTGCTTTGGCAGGGTTGCATAGACATCTACAAGTGGTACAGCCAAAAGGAAGTGTGAGAAGGAGAATCCACAGAGGTGCAAATACTCAGGTCTATGCAGTGCTCTCTGTTTCTCTCCCTTTCTCACAGGCAGCAAAGTTACCCCAGGATTTAGTCTAAGAACACTTCTAAGCTTAGAAATGATTGACCTAATGAAAACATTACAGTGTACTAACGTTTTACTAATGCCCTAAGTGGGCAACCCTGGGGAGGCTCCGAAGCAAACAGCCCTTTCCATTCCTTCGAACAATCTGTGTGTAAAAACCAAGGATCTTAAATTAAACCCCAAGTAATTAAAACTGAGCCTTGATGCCTAATGAATGTCCAGAGGCACTTCCATATAAACCTCAGCCTCCCGCTCCAGGGGAGAACGGGACAAGGTCCTTCTCATGAGTGAGTCAAGTCAAGGCATGTTTGTAGGTGCAGACTCTGCTTGCTTCTTTACTCGGCTTCTTGCTTCCTCGCTGAACCCAAGGTGCTCGGGAAGGCAAAAGAAACCATCTGATGTTGCAGGACTTGGAAAGGGTGGACGTAACCGCTGTAAAACCTGCGTTCCAAAGGAAGGGAGAAGGCTGGGATGGGCTGCAAGTGGGAGAAGAGCGCAGGGACAGGCGACGGAGCCAGGTCTCTCCTGCTAGCACCCTCCTGTTCTGCATGGCCTAACATAACAGCCCAGCAGCAGCTCTCCCCCCTCCCTGGTGATGTCAATGTGCTTCCCTGCTGAGATCTCATTACCCCATTCCCCCTGTTCTCCCACCTGGCCACAGCCACATCTTTAGGCTCCATCCAGCTCAGCCGCCTTGCTCCGTGCAGGCAGAGCCACGGGGGAGCTGCACGATGTGAACAGGCAGTGGTGACACTCGGTTAAGCAGGGCAAGCATTCCCACCTGTACAGCCTCCACGCAGCTCCGGCCGGCTCCTCTATCGCCCCGTGTTGCTCATCCCCGAAACCTTCGGGCTTTTGATGTTCAGGTTCTCATAGACGGAAGCTGACTCATCATCAACCCTGTCAAGAAACAAAGCCTTAACATCAAGAGCCTCCCTGCTCCGAGGCAGGTAATGGCCCAGCCAAGCTCCCTTTGGCCCTCCCCAACCTTGTGGGTAGGATGACATCAAGCCTCCTGCTGTTTTCAATCCCTGTTTTCCTCTCCCTCCAGCTAGGACCTCCCCCCTTAGGTTCAAATACAGCCTGGGGATGGAGCTTTGCACCTTCCTCTGCATCAGCCTTTTGTGGATGCAGTTTCTGTTGGATCAGTGGATACAGACCCTGGTATTTCCTACTCTTACTTTCTCTACATATCCAGCTTGTCTGGATCTAAGGGAAGGAGAGGGCTGCTTTAAAGGCCACATCCAAGTGCCTCTAAAGGAGGTTTGATGCCCAGAGCTGGACACATAGGACAGAATACGTGACATCTCTTTTGTCGTCTTCTCAGTTGGATCTTTCATTCTGCATGAGCTCAGCAACAGCTTTGCTGCCTCCACTTTAACACCCACCCCTGCTCCTTTCAAAACCAACCCTGCAACTCAAAGTGCCCAAGAGCTCTGATTTTATATAGCTGACACATGTCCCTGCCCACTCTCCTTCATCTTATGACCCCTCTCCATCACTTACTGCTGTCCCATCACTTGGGGCAAGAGGAAAACACATAATCTGGGGTATTTTCTCTCTGCTTATATAAGGAACTGATGCTACTTAGCACATGGGTGCGAACCACCTCCCTCTGCTCTCATCTTCCTTCACATTCTGCTGTAAGAGATGCTCAGTGGCAGTAGCACAGCTTTCAGCTCATTCTCCAGAGCCAAGGATATGGGGCTCTGCTCACTAAAGGCTTGGACCCGTTTCCTCCTCTCCCTTCCCAAAGCATAGCACACAAGGAAGATGCTACCACCACTGTGCTGGGATCATCTGGTTGGTTTAAACCATTCCCATAGGATGCCAGCAAGTGGTTAAGTGTCAGGTATGGGAGAGACAGGCTGGCAAAGGATAAAACACTTCACTCAAGCTGTTCTTTCCACTGATCAAGTTCTTATCCTCGGCAGAGAGACGTTCAGCTTACACAGTGTGGGTCCGTGGGGAAGGGGGCTGTCCCTTGGCTCTGCCCTTGTCCATGGGAGAGTAGCCAATATTCAAGTAGTCCCGCTCTTTCCTTTTATTCCTCTGAAAGAGAAAGCAAAGACCATAGCATCCCATTCCTAGGAGAAAGCCTTACAATATCCCATGTGCCAGCAGGAAGCAGGGCTATGGGCTTATCCCCGTGTCTTTAGGGCAGGATTTGGGCTCCAGAGAGAAGGCAGAAGCGATGCTCGGTGCAAGCCAAGGTCTGCCCTGGCTTTCCCAATCCAGCTGAATGGGACTTACCTGTTCTTCCTCCAACCTCTTCTGCTCAGCCTCGATGTACTGCTGCACAGCCATGTAAACAAACTTGTACTGGGCCTCGGTCTGCACCATCCCCGAGCGCTGCCTCCGCACCATCTGGATGGTTTTGGGGATGTCGATGTCGCAGTCCAGCCCTGCTCGGGAACGAGAAGGGCACATGGAGGGAGTGGGAATTCGGCTGCAAAACTGTTTCCTTAGGGTAACTTGGAAAAGCTTTCCAAACAGTCAAAAGGACTTGGTGCATCTCAGGGCCTTGGAGATGCTTTTCAGCCTTGGACTGTGGTGGCTGAGGCATAAGGCAGGGAAGACTTGCTTGGAGCAAGGGGAAGGGAAGGAATTAGGTCTGTTCCACAGCAGCTTCCTACGGATGCAGACTTGGCACCCTCGCCTGGTTTATGAACTAGATACAACCAGTGCTGAAGGTACCATTGCTGAAGAGCATCCACCTGCCTCAAGGCTCCTGGACCATGTACAGAGCTACCACA